CAATTGTGATATCAGGTTTTGCAGGTTTTATATTAGGTTTGGATCATCGTTTTGAATTATGTACGAGTGCCGGTACCCATCTACATCTATCAAATGGGATTCTCAGGATGTAATCATGATCAATTAGATGCCTCAGCCGAGATGATCAATGTATTCCTGCCTACTCGAGTACTGGTATATATATATATATATATTTCATCTCTTACCTTCTCTCTCTCCCTCCCTCTTATTGGCCATAAACACACAAATAAACCCTTGACCGGACAATGCGGACATCCGTGATGACTTTTCTGCAAAGTATCCTCACTCCACTGCAGTTCCCACCGAGCAACTAATTACCTAGTACTTCCGCCCCGTTCCGACAGCTATCATCTGAGTTACATCCTAGTCTAAGTCTAAGCATGTATGATCTGTCGTTCTAGAAGTGAAAAGTTCCTGAACATCTTGGACATCTTGACTCTTGAGCATCCTTCATGATTCTTCCCACAGATCGTCCATGCGTTCTAGGATGAGGTGAAAACGCACAAATCACAATCACGATCAGCCTTAAGAGCCAAAGTATAATAGACTGACGTCCTATGAAGTCAACAAATAGAATGTTAACAAATGTTCAAATCCGATTATCCAAGAAAGTCTCTGATCTCGAATGTTGACAGGATTTCTGCATTGTCGGGTTCTTTTCACTCCCACTTCCACTCCCACTCCCACTCCTACTCTCAACTGTTGTTAATGACTTCAGCTATCCTTCTTGACCGCTTATGTTGTGTCAGACGATGAAGCCATAAAGTCATCTTCTCATAGCTACTTGTTTCACTCAATTAAGCGGACACAACATATCTTCTTACACTTACTTCATGTTGTCCCTCTGACCCATTTGAGGTTCTTGGTCGAACAAAGATAATTCTGGGCATTGCATGGAACTTTGGGTAACGGGACATCCCTCTCTCCCTAGTACCTACTCGAGTAGCGTCAATTGATCAAAAAGTCAACCATCACATGTCGTCGTGTGGTCGTGTTGTGACTAAAAGAGAAAGGGACCTGGTGGACCCGAGTTGGGTTTAGTTCTAATCAACGGAACGTCGGAAATGTCAAGCTTTCCCCTCACATCCCGTCCGTAAGTAACGCAGCGAGCGCAGGTAGGTATGACGAAAAGATCGATCGCGTTTTCTCCTCAAGCTTCTCTCGTGGCTATCCGAGATTCAACTCCGATATGCAAACTTCTCTTCAAATCAAACATCAATTGAGCCAGTCCTCATTTTAATATCAAGGTATCAATTTCCTGTTTTCAAACCTACCTGCAGCAAATATAAGCCATCAATCATTCTCATGGCTACACAAATAATCTTATATCTTGTGTACACTCATTGACGTATCACAGTTCACCAACTCGTAGGATTGACTTGATTGCAATAACATCTCCTTTTCCTGCAATATTTCGTTACACTGTTTTGATTGCTTTGTTCCTTTTTCTTTTTGGAACCGTTGACTATTTTCTCGTCATCTCTCATCACAAGGCAACTTGCATCAATCATTTCAACAAACAACGCGTACCTGGATCTATCAACAATGTCCGTCCCCGGTGTTGCGCAGACGTCTCGTCGCCATGATACAGGATATTTGCCAATTGAAAATTATGGTCTCATTGGGAATATGCGAACTTGTGCGTTGGTAGGTATTGATGGAAGTATTGATTTCATGTGCTGGTAAGCTATGTTTGCAATCGATGGAGTATCTCCACCCTTTTCAGAATACTTATAATTTACAAATTCAGGCCAGACTTCGATTCTCCTTCAATATTTGGTCGACTTCTAGACAAAAACAAAGGTTGGTTGGGAGCTTCGTTTGTAATGCCGTCTCAAAATCCTGGGGATGTTAAGCTACCGTGGACCCCTCATTTGTCTCTCCCGCAATGAGCTCCATCAGTTACCCCGGATTGTATCTCACCCCCAGTATCATATTTACCAATGCTAACTCTGCGAATACCTCAGGTGGTCATTTTTCCATCTCACCTGCGAATGGAGTTACTTTCAACACAAAGCAACAATATCTCCCGTCCTCCAACATCCTACAAACTCGATATATCCATGAAGAAGGAGTTGTTGATTTGATTGACTTCTTTCCACGTCCAAATCATAGTCATGTCGCAAAGAAAAGTTCCATGCCTTTCCGGGAGACTACAAAAGTTCAGGGCGAATTAAAGAAATGGCTGGTACGACGAGTCGAATGTATTCGAGGCAGCGTCGATTTAGGTGAGAAAGATCCAGAACACGGCGGCAGTCATCATATCTCACAACTTTGTCTAGATGTGGAGATATTCCCAGCCTTCAATTATGCCCGCGATGAACATGATTTGGAAATCCTCATGCCGGAACATCCTCCAGGAGCGCTTGAGAGTAAAACGGTCACCTTCTCCAGTAAAGATTTGAAGCTTCAACTCGATGTGACTATTGATCATGGTGAGGAGAATATAGATTCATGCCCTTCCCTAATATTCCGCCGAGTAAGACAGAAGGAAGGTAAAGGTGACGGTGTTGTTGCAAACATACGATTACAAGAAGGTCAAGCTATTTCATTCGTCTTGCGTGATGATATTCCGGATCATATCACCAGGGACGTCACTACCGAAGTATTAGATACACAACAACATGACACCCAAAGATATTGGTCAAGTTGGATTGGTCAAAGTAAATATACAGGTCGTTGGAGAGAGGTTGTGGCCAGAAGTTTAATGATTTTGAAATTATTGACTTATGAGCCTACTGGTGCGATCATTGCAGCACCCACATTCTCTATTCCTGAAGACATTGGAGGAGTTCGGTAAATATAATGAGATCTTCTATGGGCATCTCGCTAACTTTTTAAGCAATTGGGATTATCGCTATTCCTGGGTACGAGATTCTAGTTTCACCATCTACATTCTACTCAGGATGGGATTTGTCGATGAGGCAGATGCATACATGAATTTTATCAGTGATCGATTCAGATTGTCAAGGGGCCCAGATGGTGCTTTGCCAATCATGTTCACAATTAGGGGCGAGACTGATATCCCGGAACTTGAGCTTAGGTGAGAATTTGAGATATCCTTTTCTTTCCTTCCATAGACTAATCATGCATAGCCATCTCTCTGGTTATAGAGATAGTGGACCTGTTCGTATCGGCAATGGTGCAGCTTTCCATCAACAGTTTGATATCTATGGTGAGCTTATGGACGCTATATATCTTTGGAACAAATATGGAAAGCCTGTCACATGGGATCAATGGGTAGCAGTTCGAGAGATTTTAGGTATTTTATTTCACGCCACTCTTTCACTAGTACATTATACTAAGAACTTTCAGATTATGTTTTGAAAATTTGGCAAGATACCGATATGTCAATTTGGGAAGTTCGAAGCAAGAAACAAAACTATACATATTCCAAAGTCATGCTTTGGGTAGCATTTGACCGTGGAGTACGTCTTGCAGAGAAACGTTGTTTGCCATGTCCGAATAAAACAGAATGGTTGAGGGTTCGTGATGCTATCTACGAGGAAATTATGCAGAAAGGTAATTTACATTCACATGGTATAGATTAATACAACTTGGGCCAACTGACAAATATATAGGTTACAATACCGAAAAGCAAATGTTTGTTCAAAGTTATGAATCACGCACTATGCTCGATGCTTCTATTCTCATCGCACCACTCGTCTTCTTCATCTCTCCCAATGATCCTCGTTTCCTGAACACAATCGATAAAATCCTTCTTTCTCCCGAAAAAGGAGGACTCACAGAAACTGGTCTCGTCTTCCGTTACAATACCTCTACATCTGAAGATGGTGTAGGTGGTCGTGAAGGTGCATTTTCTATGTGTACCTTCTGGTTGGTTGAAGCACTTACTAGAGCGGGTGTTTATGATAGAAAGTATCTGGTAAAGGCAGTTAACATATTCGAAAATATGTTAAGTTTTGGTAATCATTTGAGTATGTTTAGTGAGGAGATTGCGAGGAGTGGTGAGCAACTGGGGAATACGCCACAGGCGTTTAGTCATTTGGCTTTGATTAGTGCAGCATTCAATTTAGATCGGGCGACGAAGGGCAAGAACTAGGAAGATGTTGAAATGGTAAATGGTGGAAGGGAGATGGTATTTAGATTGATTCTGGGGAATAACAACTAGACTGTTACGACTTTTACGATAGGGGTGAGAATGAAAAATCCGGGATGGAAAACTAAGACAGGAACTTTACAGTATGGCATTCAGGTTGGTACAAAATTCGAGCTTCTACATCATTTATCTACAAAATACTCAATTGCTTCCAATTTATCCAATAGGTAGAACCTACCTAGCTTTTCACAGATGTTGAACCTCTACAAGGCCGTGAATGATAGTCCCACACGCATTTATCGTTACACCTTTCAATTTCTATACAAGTAATCAAGTGGAAGACACATTTATGTGTAGCATTACATAAAACAATTCTGGGTATACAAAAGGCGTGAATATTCCATACAATCATTGTCTTTGATTCTGGCATTGAAGTCTTGATTGATGTTATGTATGTCTACATTTCTGCATCAATTGTTCCTTCCCCTTCCGTTCTAAGAAAGGAAGGACCCTTAAGGCAGCAAGTTCATTCTCAATCATTCACTTTTACTTGCACAAATAAAATCATTTCCCAAATCTTATCTTCTTCATCTCCATAGGTATTCGTCTTCAATTCAATCAAATCACTCAAACCATAAACTGCCATTTGTTATTCGAGCCATCTCGAATATTTGGTAACCTTGGCACTGGTGGAGTACAGTCGTGTCACGACAGATACCATCTCAACTTCTCAACATAAGAATTGATTTGATATTCATGAGTGGCCAGTGAAAAATCAGGGTAAAGGAAATAAAAGGTATAATCAATTCCGCTTTCTGTGCACTCTCTCAACTGAGCTGATTTTTGATGTAGTTCTCAAAGGTCGTCAACAGTCAAAAGCGACATCATCAACATCATCGTCGTTTTCGCCGTCATCACCATGCCAAGACTTCCAACCAAAAATGATCAGATCAATCTGCTTCGCATGCAACTTGAAGCAGAGCAAAGATCATGTGCTAGTCTCCGTCACACCATCAAGGCTAAGCAAGCTACCATTGAAAGTACTCTTGCGCAGTTAAAGGATGCGAAAGAAAGTCTGATCCAAGCTAAATCTACTTCACCTTTCATGAGAAAACTTCCCATTGAACTTCGTCTCAAGATCTATAAACTGCTCTTGGTCAATCCTAAGTTGAGTGAAACTGAATCTATTGGCAAGGCTGTCGAATATGGAAAATCTGTCAAGTTCGAACTTACCCCAGCAATCTTAAGTACATGTAAAGCAATTCACAGTGAAGCGGAACCAATTCTCTACGGCTCAAACACTTTCATTATCGAATGCATTGGTGGTTATGGTCCAGTTGGCTCCCTTCATGTCCCACAATCCCCACTCACCAGATTTACGGATCCTAGCTTCGATGATTTTGATGATAGTGATGCAGAGGATGATTTGGAGCGCAACATGATGGGATATTCTGGAACAGAGACCCTTTTGATTTCTCCGCATTCAGCGCCTTGAAGAAAGTTAAGCGCTGGAGAATACTCACTGGGGCATACAGACCGACTCCAACAAATCCAGTACCAGCAAAGTCTTTCGTTCACTTTTGTCAAGCGTTATGTCAAGAAGCTCCAACACAACCGCAAAGATCTCTCGAAATCGTCCTTGCACTTGCGAGAGTCAATACCGGTATTGCTACGATTAAGACTGAGGACACACAATACAAATTTTCACAAGATCAACTGAAATATCTGCTTCAACCGCTGAGGCTCTTGAGAGACATCAAATTGGAGTTGAACATTGCACAATTCAAAACAGACTTACCACAATCTACCCATTTGTGTGGAGCTGGGCCTGAGTATTACTTTCCTTATAGCGAAGCCCAGACAGTCGAGGTCAATCTCGAGAGATCTATGAATTTGGCATTGCCTATCGTTCAGAAATATCAAGCTATTGCGGAGGATCTTTCACCCGTTGAAAAGGTATTTAAGATGTATGAGCGATTAGAGCGATATGTAGTGTCATTCGAAAGATCTGGAAAATTCACAATGGACTTGATCACTTTGCAAAGAGGTCATGAAGGTAGTAGGCGAGAAACTCGTCATTTCGGTTGGCAACTTCCTGGTGCTTCTCTTGGTAACCCTTTCAAATCTCGCTCTCCTTTATCGTATCATCCAGTGGAGCTCGCCTTTTCTAGTAAGTCAATCATTATTCTTGAAGCATGAACTTACTTCCATGCCCGCACGACATCTGAACCAACATTTATCTGAAAATCGCTGACACCTAGGACAGAAGCCATCATAGCCAAAGATAAGGAGGATGTCACAGAGTTCAAAGCTGCTAGAGCTTCTATTTTGAAAGAACTTGATCCTCAATACAGAAGAATGGTCGATGCATCTAAGAAGTTGACAGCTTTCGTCGAAAAGGAGAGACTTTCAGGAGTATTTCATGAGTGTACTGGTTGTGGTGTATTTCATCAATACGAAGAGGATCCATACGAGAGTACTCTTGGAGAGGATCTGGATCGCTACATCTACGAACTCGATAAGATCGCCAGTTTATTGAATCGAACTATGCCTGATCATATTCAGATTCAAGTACAGAAAGGAACCACAATGTATGAGGCAGCATACTTTCATTTGGAGAGAGAAGACTTTTCAGAAAGTTACGCTGGATGCAAAAGCAAGACATCGTTGTAAAGAGCCCTTTACAAATTGCTAAATGGACAAAGAGACTTATTGAAGATATGTGGGAGCACTGTCAACGTATTAGCTGGCACAGAGAGTGTCTTTTTAAGGATGATATTACAGATATTGGTTGCAAAATCAATAAAAAATTGGGACAAGGATTGATGGAACAAGAATTGGAGTGGCTCGAAGGATTTGAAAGTGATGACGAGGAATTTCATGAATTGCATTATGGAGATTAATTATTTAGTGAGAAGTCAGAGATGGAATTTTGAAATGAACAAGGAGTGTTTACAGGTGGAGAGAGATACTAAGTATTAGCTGTTGCAGAATTTGCTGATGGGAAAATGGAATGGGATACATAGCGATGGTGTATGTTCTAATGGCTTAGCTGAGCATGGTATGTTACGATGATATGGAAATATGAAAGTATGGGAACCTGGCTGACTGGCTCTTCTGGCTCTTAATAATAATTTATTGTAATTTCTACTATTATCGTATGTAGGTGTATTGTGCTTGTGTGATTTTTGACATCAAGGCATTTTTTGCCTATGCATCAATTCCAAACATCATTACCGACCTGGTCTTACTCTTGACCCGCTGCCAGCAATATGGAACTTAAAAGCAACTTCGCAGCTCAAGATCTGTGTTACAATCACCCTTCTTACTGCCAGTAGGCAAGAGAGACTAACTTGCAAATACTTTCAGCCTGTGAACTTGACTAATAAATTACTTAGCGAAATCCTCGCTTCAATCCTGCGCGCTGTCGGAATTTTCACCGTTCCCATCTTCGAAGATCCAGGATGGCTCAATGTCACAGTATTTGCATACACCGTTGCTGAGCCAGGAACCTATTTACTTGCCGCCTGCTTCCCAACTTATCGCTCACTGTTTTCATACTTGAAAAGTGAACGCTTGCGCTCAACATTGGATGCAACCAAATCCTTTACTACCAGGTCTCAAAAGTATGGAAACATTACTCGAAATCCTGGTGATAGTGGGAAAGGCTATATGAAGCAGGTAGATGACTCGAGAGATACAAATAACTTGGTTGAAGAAGAGTCATCTCGCTGGCAGAACTTCCTAAGAATCATACTCAAGTTACCACCCCACATGAAGTAGCTTGTCGGATGAGGGGACGCTAGGGTATCATCTTGGGAGGTACGAGCTGTAGCTTCAGAAAGGAAGTTGCCCCGTATGAGTCGTATGAGATGTGGAGTCGGTTGTTGTGCTGGGTGGGATAAGAAGTTGATTTATATTGCTACGCATTTTGTGAAGAAAGGGGAGGTTAAGTCCAAGGGTTATGTTTTGGGGGATGGGTCTTGGTTTGGTGGACGTAATGCTAGATTTGTGGCGCAGGAAGGAGAGGCAGAGAAGATTGAGGAGAAGTATATCTTGACTACTGGCATTAATAAGTACGTCATCAAGTTTGGTCGAATGACGAATCATCCCGAGGTGTTGTTAGCTTCGAGTGGGCTTTTGCCGGAGAAACCAGGTGGATGGATGGGCTACGATGAGTGACTCTCTCTGGGGAATCAACTGCTCTTCTCGTTGGCGAAGCTACAAAAGCCAAAGACAAGCAGAATGAAATTGTCGAAGGACCGGGTGCCTGGACATGGGAGAAGACCGTTGTGGAGAATGAGAAAGGATTGAAATACCTATGCAGAGCACTTTAATTTGCTGCACTCGATGGGTTGACGGCAGAATTCTCGGGTGGCAAGGCTCCTGCGTTGGGTAGATTTAAAGATTTGTTGTGGAATATGATAGGGGCTTGGTATCTTAAGCAGATGGAGGGAAATAGCTAGATCTCGGGACAGCTAGGAAAAGGGAAGCGGCGATAGAGAAATATGTAAACTTGCTAGTCTCTTATTCAACACGTGCTATTTAGTAGGAAATGCGCAAGATGTTGGGGTAATTAATGGATTTATCAGTGATTTTTTTTGAGCCTGCATCATTTTCCGTATTGTCTTCGATTGGTATATCTAGTTTCTGTAAAGCTATCAGGAGGCGTGTGAGATGGCTAGTTTTGATAGAAGGTGTATCTACCGCTTTGTCTTCTGGCTATCGCTTTGTCTTCTGGTTGATATGTGGTTTGTAGATTTAATCCCTCGAGTGTAAAAAATGAGAAAAGAGCTTATTATGCATTCATTGCGGTTCCTCGCGGTTTTGGGAATGGATTCCAAGAGGGTCTCTGATACCCATTAGGAGTTGGGGGTACAATATATCAAGATGCGGATTGCAAAAGTGATCAAGCAGGTTACAAAGATCGGCCCCAGACTGCAGGATGTAATTGTCGCTCTTGAATAGGTGCTCAAAAGCAATGGGGTTGCCAATAGAATGCCCATCTTCGCTTATGGGTCCGAGATTGAGAGATACTGCGCGTTGTCTATTGGCGAGTCGATAGCGAGCAAATGCGTCTTGGTATGTGTTTCCTGAAGCGTAGTTGGTTTGGGTGGAGTTTTCTTGGGCCCATCGCTTAACCGACGGAGAGAAAATAAAATCTCTGTCCCGGGAGAATCTACTTGAATGACAAGTGGTTTTTGAAACATTACATCACGAATCTCAAAGCTCGACATATTGGGATGGGAGCATCTTCTCAAATTTCTTCAAAGCTTCTATAGCCATAATAATCATTCCGGCACCTGGGTAAATAATAGTTCCATTGACCTATAAACAATTATAGTTAGTGATATCCACAAGCAAAATTAATAGGCCCACTCACCACATGGTCTTTGACCCAAGGTATCTCAGTCGACTTGATGGTAATTTGCCATCTAGCATCAAGAGGGTTCCAATCTGTAGATCACGTTTCTAGGAGATCATTTCGAGGGTAGCCACAAAACCTATATCCGAAATCTTGAAGTGTATTTGGCCAATCGGTATGTAAGATTATATCATCGAAAGGGTATTCGGGCAGATCAGTTAGAAGGATACATCGGACCTTCCTTCATCTTCCGAGAGGGGAGCCTCGCTTAATGTTGAGAAATCTACGCGATATCCCGACAATGGAGCTTACCGACGGTAGTCAAGAATGGCCACGGGTCTCGCATGTGGAACTGGACCGCTGAATGTAATTGAATTAGATGTATTGTCTTGATGATGAGGTTCAGGAAAACTTTTAAGATGTGCAGAGGATAAAAGAAATATATTATATAAGACTTTTATTTTAGAGATTTAGATATTGAGAATATAATACCAATGAATAATATTACTATCCGAATATCGAATTTAATAATATATTTAATTCGATTGATGACTGATGATCTTTAAGAAGAAAAGCAGACGGAATTTGATTATTTAAATTTCTATTATATTTTGTGAATAAATTAAATCAAAAATCAAAAATCAACTACAAACAATTTATAAAAAATTCAATAGAACTAGAAGAAATAACTCCTCATTATTCGAATGATATCTAATAGTTTTATTTTATACCTATATGAACGAACGCGGGTCAATGACTTTAACTCATTATAACTACTATATTACCTAAGCGAATACGAAAGAGACTAGCTCTTTCAGTAGCCCTTATTTAACGGTCTACTATTTCTATATACAGTCAGCTCTTGAGATAGAATACAATATTGATATCTAGAATCTATCATCGTAGGTACTATATCATCTGAATTCTTCTCAAACTAATAATATGATTTTCAGACGAAATAATTGAGTGATAAAGATATTATAGAAATGATTAAATTCCGTCTGTTTTTTCTCCTACGAATAGTTAGCCATATTCAAAAGAGGAAGCATTCCTGCTTTCTTTTTACTCTTGATGGAATATTACTATTATCAAAATAAATATCTCGGTTGCGTATCTCCTGACGTAATAGGGCTAGTTGATGACGATAGCGCGGTAGATAATATTCTTACTCATTAAAGATCCCGAAAACATAAAAGAGTATAATATATTAAGAATTTTGAAAATGATTAGTTTTGAAAATCAAAGTGTTCAAAATAAAGGAATAACGGGAAACCGGGGTAGGGAACTAAAACTTATAATAACATATATTCAGATGTAATATTTAAATATTGTTTTCAAATCATTGTAATAACCTTTCGTTCTCTCCTTAGCAACCAAAAGGACTCGCAATCGATTTCAAACATGCCAATTCGCTTATACAAATCTTCGGTCGTAGTCAATTCCTCACCTTTCAGCTGTATCAAAGCCAGCCCGCATACGCATGCCATGGGCCCACGGAGAGCTTGGCCCGCATCGAGTTGTAGAAGCCGTACTTGTATCTTCGGGAGGCAGAAAGGATCGTAATCGAAACACACCATTCCACACTCCACACTATGATCTGGAGACAGATGGTACCCCTTTGGGCCTTCCCCTATGACTGGGTCGTCGGGTACAAATTCTGATTCACTCAAAGTAACGACAATCGACCAACCTGATACAGTGATCTTGCCTTGACTCACGTGTCCAAAAGGATTCCGCCCAACTGTCGTTGTGGTTGCACTATCGAGATGTGGAGCGGAAGAAATAATCGAAGCGTTTAGCTTTGTCTGAAAGGTATTCGGTTTGTAATCGTAATCATAAAATGCCCCGGAGAGCCATGTTTCCCCAATGTGAGCCACACCGCCGTCGAACGCCGCCCAGGACCAGGATGGTATGCCTCTAAAAGGGGTCGACGGTGGCCAAATTGCATCAGATTCGGGCAGGCGGCGGCTGAATTCGTGCTTCCCGGAGCCAGGGAACCACGCAAGTCCCCTAAAAATATCACTTTTCCACAAACCAGCCAAGTATTCGTCATTTGGCTTAATTCGCTTCCACTCTGCAGCAAAGCCAGCGAATGCTGGTAGCTTGTCCTCAAGGTGTGACAGACGGCAGTGCGAATATTGGTGTACAGCGCCATACCAATGGCTTCGAAGTTCCTTGAATTTGTAATCGGGTCCCCACATGCGACTCTCCTCAGAAGGCCCGAGTTTCGATCTTCCTCCATCCAAGAATCGCAGAGGGGAGGCTTCCTCGTTGGCAAACCTATAAACATCGGTTTTGAGACGCATCTTCTTTAGAATTTCCGATGCTATAGCAGTTCTGCACTCCCATGCCAAAAATTTCTTCGTGTAACAAATGATACGCGGAGACAGGTGTTGTTCTTGGAGCACCCAGCCACGGCTTTGCAAAAGCCCCATCCAATCTCCATCAAACGCAGGTTGGATTGTTACTGTTAACTTGGGTTCGCTGCCGTCGCTCTCGTAAGTTAGTCGAACTGGTTTCATCGTCCGCGATTGGAAAAGCCCATCTCTGGAATCTCTGGCATCAGATGCAGCGATTGTGCATAGAGCGTTGGTATATATAGTGTTCATTCGAGCGCACTCTACTTCGAAATCGTTTCGATCGTCCTGCACAATACACAATGAATCAATCCAGAGGTATCGAAGACCAAGTTCCCTAGTTGTGCGCACAGCATCGTAGAAGGTCTGAGGAAGTCGATTTTCAGGAAACCCTAGTAGCTGACTTTGCAAATTGTTCTTAGTTGTCTTTGGAGGTTGATTGGAACCCCAACAGTGACTAAGCGCTGCGTAGTCCGCTCCTTCGGCGGGCAAGTCAGATGTGAAGCAAAGGCGAACTATGCCTGGTTTTGAGGGCACCGCAACATCCAGCAGCCTTGTAGGCAGTTCGAATTCTAGTAATTCTCTACAGTCTTCATGTTCCATGCGGCACTCAGCCAGCCATGAACGAGCGAGAGCAAAATTAGCAGGAGAATCCGACTCAGTTTCGGTTACATATGAAGGAGAATCAATAGACCTAGTTGTAGCCTCATCCTCATGGATAATCAGCCGGTCATCAAGCCACATTTTGCAATGAGAGCCAAGAGTGATCTGCAAAGTGGTCTTCTGTTCTTGCCTTCTTTGGAGCCAAATTCCCCTATCGCAGTATTCTGGGAATCTTCGTAGATGCTCGTCGGGGTTATAGTGAGCACATTCGAGAGCATCCTGGAACAATTTACAAAGACTAAAACCGTTGGTTGCAGATAGTCTTAGTTCTTTTAATGCGTTGCGACCTTCAAAAAGCTGATACGATTTTGTCGGCCCATATTCCAACTCACATCCTCGTGTTGGTTTCCTATTACTGAAGAATGTTACTGCTGGAATGTTGTTGCACGTATCACAAAGTTCCTTTTTCTTATTTTCTGAACAGTTTCCTTCATTTTTCATATTGAGAATTAAGCGTGAATGCAAGTAGAATATAATCTAAAAGGAGTGACGATTATAAAAAAAACAAACGTTTCTTGGAGAAGTAGATATAGAATGTAAACATCCACTGGCATCAAAACTTATTTTTCCAGATATCAGGTTAATGAGAACCCTGAATTTACCCAGGTGGGCAGGTGATTCGATTCAACGCCTTAAGGCCATTATGCAGGCTTATGCAAGGCCTTATTTGATTTAATCGGAAAAGAATCATGGGATGATCAATCGTTTCGAAAAGCATTCTGAGATGCTATCGAGTGAGTTTTACGACCGAAGAGTTTTACGACCGAACATCGAAGGAAGTTTTGTCCGAGCACGTGCGAGCCTGCACGTGTCTTGATTACTTGTATATAGTCTAGTACACAAAGCCCTCCGGACCACGAACTCCTTCATTCGATAGTGGTAGATTCTAAGAGCACTTTGAAACCCTACTTTGTTGTTCATTCGACCTATCGGTATCTCTTACGGGTAGAGT